ATCAATGCTCCAGCGCAGCTACAAGGGCAGTAGTAACAGCAGGTCTTCACACTGTGGCTGGTTTTGGGGACAAAGAGATGGGCCAGGTGGATAAGAGATTATTTTTTTTATAACAGTGTCATTTAACACAGCCTATCACAACTCCTCACCTAGAGCACATGGAGCTGGTCGCTGTGGCCAGAGAAAACATTGGCAAAGAGACCACTGGGGGACCAAAACACTGGCATTGGTCACCCGGCTTTTAGAAGAACTGCAGGCATTGCTTCTGCTCCACACTGGGACAATCTCCTGCCTCCTCAGTGGTACAAGAGGAAAACAGAGCACTGGCACATGCCAGGCAGATCCCACACTTTTCAAAAAAAGAAATACACCTCGATGTTTTGGAAAATAATTTCCCTGACTGGTATTCTCCTTGTCTGCCTTAAACCAGCCACTCAGCAGCAAGAGATCTGAAACCTACCCAAAACCCATCCTGCCCATCCACCATCCCAATATCAGCCTCCAGAGGGGAAAGAGTGGCTGTACAGAAGGATGAGCACCAGTTTCACTGTCTTGTGAGTGTCCAGCTTCATGCAGGAGAAAATCCCTGTTGTCTGGAAGGGTTTTTGCTGCCAATCCCTGTCTTGGCAGCAGCCAGCTCAGGGCTGATGATGGGACCAGCAGGAAAGCCGGGGCTCTCCATCACCTCTGCACTAGAAAGTGCCTTGAACTAGAAGGAATTGGCACAAAAATCCCCAGTGCAGATTTATACCTGAAAACATGTGAAGATTTGGCACCTGGATTCAAATTTGGCTTGAGTTCTTTCTCCTAAGCATTTAAAGATTTCTCACCTACCCTGTGAAGACAAGGATGCACCAGGAAAGAGCACAGCGATATTAGAAATGGCACTCTGGGACAGAGAGATGCCAGGGGGTTCAGAGGGATTTTCCCTTAAGGAAAGCTGTTTAATGCAGCTTGCTGAAAACAGAAAAAGAGTGAAGGGGGAGAAACAGCTGGAGAAATTACGAGAAACAAGGTCTGGAAAATTGTCACCTTACACATCATTGCCACATGCAGTGACAGCAGGTCAGCAAATAAACAGGAGAAAATAGCCCATCCTGCCCCCCAGATTTCATCGGGTGCCTTCTCTACTCAGTGCTCTGCCAGAGGGATGACAGGGGAGCAACAGCAGCGTTTCTTGAATCGATGCTCTCACTCTGCCTCAGCCAGGCTATGACAGCAAGCTGTTCCCACCACCACCAAAAAAATAAAGAATCAGTGTTTTGTTTTGTACACATTAAAGCTCTGCAGAGATGGGCCTTGAGCGGCAGCCTCCTGCCCAGAGGGAATGAAAATCATGAGCCAACCAGGCAGCACAGGTGTAATGGCATTTATATGGAGAAGGATGCTGTTTGCAGTGCAAATGTACCTCGGGTTCCCACTGCGTGCCCTGGGTAAAGATGTTCAGAAAGCAAAGACAGAAGTCAGCTGCTCCCCAGGTTTGCTAGCTGAACATCGCTGACAAAGAAAGAGGTCGTCACCCTCCAGCCAGCGTTTGCTGACTGGCCATAAAACCAGAAGGAAACCCCCATCCCACTGCAGCCTGCTGGGGGCGTGAGTGACAGAGGGGCACCTCCTGCACTTTGTCCTGATGGCACAGGACAAATCCAAGGAGACAGTCTGACAGCACCTTGGGTAGGATGTGCAGCACTTTTCACCTGAGCAATGCTTTCTTCTTGCTCCAAGACCCTCCATCTCTGAGAAAGGAAAGGCCACTTTTCTGTTACACCAAGCAAACCGCTTCTCTGCTGCTGCCAAACCACACAGAGCCAAAGGCACATTTCCATCACAACTCAGCCCTTTTCTAACTTACCCATGGGATTTAAGCAGGAAAAGTAGCACCCATAAGGCTACCAAAGCCCAAAACGTACTGCCCCAAGGAGCTGATGGCACAGGACGGGTGAGGAGAAGGTATGGTCTACTGTCCCCCATCTGAGATGCCACAGCATCAGGGGCACAGTGGATGCGTGCATTTTGGATATATATTCTCACTGCTGCTGTTGCTCCCTCTCCCCTCCGCTGGCTGACAGAGGACTGCTGTCAAGTTTTTGCCTTGCACTGTTTTTCATTGCCTGCATTTTCCATTTCTTCCCTGTTACAAAAACAACAAAGCAAAAATCACATCAAATATAACAGAGAGTTGAGTTTTTCTGGTCGGTCACAAGGCTGGGATCTGGCTCACAGGGTCCCTGCACTGCAAGCTGCCAGGGGACATGGAAGGAGAGAGGGCAGAGGCATGAGAAATTGCTCATCCTTTAGGAAGACCCACTTGGGAGGAGAAAGGCTCCTGGTTGCTTCAGAACACATTGGCTGAGAAAACCCTGGATGGAAAGGAAGGAGACATTTTCTACATGTTTAGCTCAACAAACCCTTTCCCCAATGAATCTACTGGCAATTCATTACGCTGGATTTGTAGCCAAGATGTTCCCACTCTCCAGACATGTCAGATCAATAAATGGAGGGGGTTTGACACGTGCCACCAAGGTGCAGAGCTCCCTGCTGATCCATCCTGGCACATGGACTGCTTGGTGTTTGTCAGCTCCATCCCAGGGAGGGAACATGTCTTGCATGAAGGGGACAAAGAGGTGATGCAGGGACAGCAATGCTCAAAGTAAATGACAAGGCACAGATCCTTAATAAAGGATGAAAACTCTAGAGAACAGCTAAATTTGGGGATGAGCCTTTGTCAGCCTTTGTCATAGGTCTCAAAGAAAATACTTGTATATCCTTCTGATTTAATGTCTTCTTTTTGATGGGAAACCCAAACAAAGCTGAGGAGCTGGATACTGCCCTTAGAAAGGGGGACAAATCAGTCTTTCAAGAATAGCAACGGTTGGACTGAGTTGCTTATATGATTGCTCTGCTCAAAGTAGCAGCAGTGATTAAAGAGGAAAAAATAGGTTGAACAATTAGAAGACAAAAAGATCTAAGCACACAGTCCTGTCCAGGCAGAGAAACAACATTTTTCTCTCCTGGCCAAAATAAATGTGTGTGTCTGATTGATGGTGGGAGTCTCTGATGATCAGCTCCAGCAAGGTTAGATGTATGGATGGTTAAACTCTATTGATCTCACCTTCATGAGACCTGATGTTTGATTCCCTCGATGTCAGACTGAGTTAGTTTGATCTGATAATTTAGAATACCAACAGTGCTTAATGTGGACCAGAAATAATATCTGACATGCTGCCCTTCTGCCAGGCTCTTAATGAGCAATTTGAGGTGTTAATAGCTTGGAGACCATCTTCATTTCCAGCTCTGCCATGGAGCATCACATGGTGTCTGCTGAGGGACCCAGAGAGAGTACATTACTGCTTAATTAACATGCAGAGCAGAAAAAGGAGCTGCCATAACGTCCCCAGTGCTGAAGGGGATATGCCAAGCCCTTCGGAGCAGAGTCTGCTATCCTGCCAAATGCTCAGGACCCTCAACTGCTACTGACTCAGCAGAGTTGGGTGACTCAGCATCCCCTGCAAGAACAAGCACCTGCAGGCTCAGGTTCAAAGCCAATTTAGGTGGAGATGGAGTAATTAAAAGCTAAAAACTGATTCAGCATTCACATTTTCAAAACCCTAAATTAGTTTAAAAAAAAAAGGAGTAAACAGGCAACTGGCCAACAAGTGGCCCCAGAGGAAATTAATTCCACACAGGCTTCGCTGTAATGTACTTGCTTCTCCGTTATTATAAAATATATGCATTGTTCTATCATCAAAATTAGATTTTCCCTCTAGCTTGTAATTAAACCCTAATCTAATTTACCAGGAGATGACAGGGGCCTCCAAGCAGAGTTTACAGACCTGCTCCTCCTTCCCTGCCCACCTCCCTCCACCTGCTTTTGCAAACTTTCCTCTGCATTTTAGAGTCTGTTCTTGAAGGTGCCGTGTGTCAAGAAGGGCCACACTGAAGACTGCTACTTGGTAAGACCCAGCTGTGAATGGGCTACCCCAGTGCCCAGGTCATCTTCCCCAAGCTCTCCTCACCGCCATAGGTAATCTCCATTTCCCAGTAGGTCGTATCCTCTGAGCCAGATCTCAATTCCCTAAACAAAACTGTTTATTGATGATTTCTATTATTTGTAATAGCAGCACTTCAATGCACAATGGTTAACCTTGCTGAGTTCCCTAGGGCATTATGGAAAAGCCATTTGCTACTGTAATTAAAACTGCCCAGACTAGACTTTTGTACTATTGCAGAGAGGCCACAGCAGGAGGAACTGCTAGAAATGTGCTCCAGCACAACTGCAAGATTGCTCTTGGGTTTGGAAACCACAGCCCAGCGCTGGCTGACCGTGCTTCCCAGGACGTTCAGACAAGTGCTCCCAGCAACGCCTACAGCTGCACCCACAGCTGCAGCAGAACCTGCCCTTTCCCTGTAAAACACTAAATAGCTGTTTGGGGAATGTGATGTGCAGTTTAACAGATGAAAACTCACTTCACCAGTGTGGTGTTAGCCTCAGGCCACAAAGGTCAGAGAAAGCAGCTTTCCAACAGCAGCCTTCCTTCCCAGGGGAACCAGTATGGGTGCTACAGCAAAGCAGCAGCAAGAAACTGGGGCAGCAGCACATTGTTCTGGTGGCAGCGCCTGTGTAGGTTCTTAGTGTAAAATGACAAGGCAGAGGGTTGGCAGAGAAGAAAAAGAGGTCACATGATATATCTGCTTGTCCCGGTGCCTAAGTATAGGTTTGTAGCTCCAGAAATAAAGCAGGACTCTAGGTTATGGGCTGTGCAAAAATTGTTGGTAGCATCTCACAGCCTCAGTTTGGCTGAAGAATGTTGACTCCTTCCCAAACTGGTGGAGAACACTTATTCCCTGAGCACCTAAGCCTGACCACAACTGGTAGGTGTTATTCCCACAAGAGAAAAGCAATTTGTCAGATCACAGACAAACAGCCTTGGTCTTTGCAAAGCACAAACAGGACACCAGGAAGGAGAAGAGCTTCAAGGAGAGATCAAAATGGCACATACTTCATCTGTCTCACGCAGCTGTCCATCAGGAATGACCCGTGGCACTGGACAAGAAGCGGGCTGCAGTTGGTCATCTCAATGTAACACACATCTGCAGTGTCGTTCAAGATGCAGCCAAAGTCCAGGGCCATGGGCTGGGTATGGAGATTCGGAAAGTAGAAATCTACCCAAACGGTGACCCGCTCCTCACAAGGATGCTCAAATAACTTTATCTTCAGAACCTTCTCTGCTACCTGGGTACTCAAATCTGCTCCATAAGCAGGGTTAAACCTGATGGGAAGATGAAGTTCCTCCCCTATCTCCAGCTTCATGGGCCACAAGAGAATGAAGAGTATTAATTATCAGTGTGATGAAGTCCCAAGGTCTAACAGAACAAAACATGTAAATGTTCAACATGTGACCCCAGCATAAGCTTCTCAGTTCATCCTGCGTTTTCTTCACAGTGTGTGCCTGACTGCAAGGCACCATCACACTCTTGTCTGAGACTATCTCAGGCTCACCTCACTGTGTTCTGCATAAATACACGAGGAAAATAAATATTGTTCTACTGAATTCTGGACCCACAGAAGCTATGTGCTAAATAGCACTCTGGCACACCAGGGCCCTGCCCCAGCTCTAGAGGAACTCCTTTGCTCTCACAGCACAAGCAGCATGGCATTGCAGCATCACCCTTGCAGGGGCTAGTCACTGACATGGCACAGAAGCAGTGGCCATGCCTACAACAAGCATTTAGCAGAGCCATTGTCCAACACCTTCCACCAACAACAGGGCAGGTTCTGGGCAGTGGCCGGAGGAGCTTCCTCAGCCTTCCTGAAAGCAGAGCTGCCCTTGAAGAAAGCCAACTGCTCTGGAGGTTATCTGAGAATGGTTGCTGGAGAGCTGGGACGGCTTCCAAGAAACACCTTTATACACGGCTTGCCCAGACCTAGTTGCTTGCTCCCCTCTCCTCATGTCTGGGAGCCAGGATGTATTTCCCCAGTTCAGATGATACTTCGTTTCCTTCAGCAGCTTGTTTCAAATCTGATTTACTTTAGGCCAGTCTACCACTGACTCTAAAGAATAAACTTCTCTACTAGAGGACCTCCCAACAGAAACGTACCACCACCACTCCCCTGCTGTCCATTCAATAATAACAAGAGGTTCACTAAGTGTTTCATTCCACTGAAACCGCAGAGCATATGGCTGCCCTGGAGCCAAGACCTCTCCCTGTTTTTTGTTTTTGCAAAAGCACTTTCAAGGTTTGGTGCACTCTTTCCATGATGGCTTGTACCGTGGGGAATGCGGTGTACCTGTGATGTGCCATGTACTCATGATGCTTGTCTGTTTGACATGGTGTTAGCTGTACGGTGGAGATCTTGTTTTGCTTTCTCTGTAAGTACTCTGGGTGATGTCAGTGAAGGATCCCTTTGTAAAATATCAAATAAACTATGCAGATCATCATCAGTTAGGCCCAATAATGGCCATATCCAATTTATGGCTCCTAACAGTTTCTTTAAATCTTTTAAAGTCTTAACATCTGTTTTAAGTTTAACCTGTTGCAGGACAATAGTCTGTTCACAAATTCTCCAGCCCAGGTACTGCCTGGTGATGATCTCTGTATCTTTTCAAGTGCTGTTTGCAACTCCATTTGAGATAGTGTGTCTTCAGTTAAAGTAAGACCCTTTTCCACTATCTCATGTGCTTATGCTGCTATAAGGATGTCATCCGTATCATGAGATGTAACAGCCTGGGGGACCTGCATTCTAACAGGGCTCAAAACCTTTGCAACAAACTACTGACACATAATGGGACTTTTTTATGTCTTATGGTAAAACAACCCAGTGGTACCATTTTGCAGGTTCACTAACATTAATAGTGGGAACAGAAAAGGCAAATTTAGGTGCATCATCTGGATGCAAGGGAATGGTAAAAAAAATCGATCCTTTAGATCAACTATTACAAGATGCCTGTTTCAGGTAATCATTGTTAGGGAGGACATTGATGGTTGTAAAGTACCCTTATCCTCCATGGCATCATTAATGTGTCAGAGATCATGTAAAAGTCACCATTTACCACTTTTCTTTAAAATAACAAACACAGGGGAGTTCTAAGGACTGGTGGTAGGTACAATGTGTCCTGCACTTAATTGTTCCTGAATTAAATCATTAAGGTGGCACGACTTTTCCCTTGGCAAGGTTAGTTTCAGGGTGGGTTTCAGGGTGGGTTGTGCTGCAGTGGTGATTAAGACAAATTTGATCCAATTTGAGTTCCTCATTGAGCCATACAGTCATGACCCCAAAATATAATAGGGGTTTCCAAGACAAATGGATGAATATTTCCTACCCAGTTTTCTGGGTCCCTTACATGAATGAGATCCTTGCTTTGAATTGTTACAGCATGAATCCAACCCCAAAAAGCATTTGAGTTACCAGAGCTAACAGTCAATCTGCTCACAGATATTACAGTCACATCCGCACCAGTATCTAAAATGCCTGTCAGCTCAACAGATTCTTCTGCTTTAGTGAGAGTCCATTTTACCAGAGGTCCACCTTGTCTCACTGTCTGAGCCCAAAGTATTTGAGTAGTACCTGCTGATCCAAATCCCGAGTCACTGTGGCTTCTCGGCATACTATTAGGGGGAGCTGCAGTAAAATACAGGTTCCAGGCCATAATTCTGATTTCCCCTTCATAATCAGCATCTACGACCCCTGGGTTGTAGATGATCTTTTAACAATACTTCCGTTAGGCAGATGGCACAGAGGTGCACTCTCCCCGCAGAGCACACACCTAAATTGAAGACACCAACTAACATGAACTGCTGCCTCCCGCTAGAGGAGATATTTCACCTGTGACACTTAAAACACTGAGCCCCAACAAACAGCAGCACCGATGACCCAGCAGGCGGGCACTAGGGCTCTGCACTAAGGGATGTTCACTCGCCCTGCACTGCCCCCGTACAGAGTCTGCCCTGCGCTTCGTTCCTCCCCGGGCGCTTCCCCGGCGGGTCAGAGAGCCCCACACTGTGCAGCTGGGCTGCGCCTCACACGCGGAACAATCACACAACCACACAAAGAGGCCCCTTACGCTTATTACTGACACAGCGTAAAATGACAAGTACTAAAAACATGAAAACACCATTAAGAATATATAAAGCCATTGCTGCATGACAGCGTCAGCACCTTCTCTGTGAAAAACCTGCTGCTTTAGTTGGGGGAGGTGCGGGCGGGCGGGGGCCGAGGCGGTCACTCCGTGGCGGGGGGGGCTCGGGGAGGCCCCGGGCCGTCGCTGCCAACTCCGCGCCTTGAGAGTGTGCAAAACCAACTTCCATGTAGTTGCTAGCTCACTGGCACGCTGATCCCTCTTGGCAATAGCATCCCACAGCCATCACCTACTTCAGCCCGCTTTGCTGGTTCAGAGGCTGTGACGGCATCGGCAGGATGCCCTGGGTTCTGCACTATTTAAGTAACCTCCGCACTGAACTTATAACAGAAGTTATCCCTCTCTTAGAGAGTATAAGTTGATCAGCTCTCCCAGGTGATTTTCTGTCAATCGACTGCTCTCATACCTCCTTAATTATTTTCCAATCTAAGGCCTCCCATTCATTGCCGTGTGGGGTTACTATTACCAGAAACACTGATCCAAGCTGGTTAAACCGCCCCTCAACTATTGCATCCCGAGTAACTCCCCGCCATCGATGTGCTGGGTCGCCATTACGTGCCCCCCCTCCCATGAGAGCCGAGGATGGCAGCGGCCCGAGGGCCAGTGTCCCCCGGACCAGCCGCCCCCCCGTTGCCAAAGGGGTTAACAGCAGGAGCGGGTGGCGGCGGTGCGGCGGGAACAGGCCGAGCCGATTCCTTTACTTGGGTGCCAAGTTTTTCTGTTAGTTTTTCGCTAGTTCTGGCAACTGCTGCTCTCGTAAGCCGTCGCGGCACTCTCCGTGCCCCGCTCGGGGCGGCGGGGCCGGGGGGCGGCGGGG